AAAAACGAGTGTAAAGAAAGACTATACTATCTGTTTGAAGAAGATAAAAACGAGTGTAAAGAAAGACTATACTATCTGTTTGAAGAAGATAAAAACGAGTGTAAAGAAAGACTATACTATCTGTTTGAAGAAGATAAAAACGAGTGTAAAGAAAGACTATACTATCTGTTTGAAGAAGATAAAAACGAGTGTAAAGAAAGACTATACTATCTGTTTGAAGAAGATAAAAACGAGTGTAAAGAAAGACTATACTATCTGTTTGAAAAAGATAAAAACGAGCAATACCGCCCATATTGCTCACAACAATATATGTGGTGCCCAACACACATTTCAAGCCACTATCTTCCCTTTTCAAGAATCAAGATCGCCATCATGGCCACTATACACATTTCTGTTATTGTTGGCTGACATCAAGGAACACCATGATGTTTACAGCGCTGCCCCCTTTTTCAGTTAAGCAAGTAATTTTTAAGACTTGAATATATCGATTTAGACCCACATTTTTATAGAGCACGACAATATACAACAAAAAGACTAAAAAATTTCAAAAGCATTAACCAAACTAATATTGATGTATAGTGTGGCAAGGTAGCTTGATCAGAAAGTCAGTTAGTAGCTCGTAAAAACAGCCAATTAGTTGATAATAGGGTTCAGTGGTCTAGCGGTATGATTCTCGCTTAGGGTGCGAGAGGTCCCGGGTTCAAGTCCCGGCTGAGCCCATTACTTTTTTGCAAAACGGCTTACTTTTATAAAAATAAAAGTAAGTATTTGTTTGGCAAAAGATATGCCTTCTACCAGAATCGAACTGGTGACCTTCTGCTTACTAGGCAGACGCTCTGCCATCTGAGCCAAGAAGGCTTATTAAGCCAACTAATCTGATTGGTTCTGATCGTTAGTCTTTTGGCACACCAAAACTCTTGAGCATATCTAGCTGCTGCGTTGAGTGTAAAAGGCAAAAGTTCAACCGGATGCAAGGTGAAAACGCGTGCGGTATACCCAAGTGACCTGCGCTGGAAACGTCAATACTTCCATTTGATTTTACACATTGCACTTTCCCAAACACAAATGACGACTTGTCTGCAAGTGCAAATGACTGCCGCCATATGACGCAATCAATAATGCTTCGACAGTTCTGGTAACAAAAATACGTTATATCTGCCCAACATCCTGCATATACTGGCGATCATATTTACAGACCCCGTCGATTGTTCGGTCTGTATGGTGTGGGTTCGCTTTGTCAAAAGCAGATACTAATCACTTAGAATGACAACCAGCAAATATGGAACATTAACAATCACATATGCTGTGTATCCGATTTTTTTGTTTGCATCACTCAAACATATTTTTATTTTTTGTTTTTGAATTATGTAGTGCTACTCGGCGCGCAATTGCGAGCGTACATCCCGGGGGTTCCCTTTTCGGGTTTAGGCTAATTAATTATATTGTTTGCCCTGGCTTGCGTTACATCAGGCCACACAATTATTTTTCCGCCTGGAAGAAGGAGTGAATGGGTATTGGCTCTACATCACATTTCTTATTTCGTATTAGTGGTATTTATTATTTGGTTGCTCTCCCAGAACGATAGCGGCGGCAATCTTTTCTGGGCACTCTTTTCAAAATGTTACTCCTATGCTTTAAGCTGCATGTTATTTTTCCCGATCGTGCAAGCACATGTGCTTTATATAGGCAGTCTTACGAATATCCATTGCTATAGAAAGGAGTGACAAGCCTTCTTTGTATGCTTCAAATGTACAGATCGCCGGAGAGGGCAATTACAAGTGGATAATACACTAGATTTTTTACAAAGTCGATACATCGGTATTTGTTAGTGGAGCTGTAGGCTGCCCAGTACCTACAACCTAGAATTTTCTAAACTTTATTCTCTCGACTTTCTGTTAGCTGTATCAACCTTTTTGCGAGTTGCAACCGTTTTTGGCCAATAGTAGAATAAATAGTCTCCGTTGAGATAACGATCGCTGCTATTTTCATTTTTTACTGTGTGGAACAGTGATCAATTTTTTTGGGCGCTTTTTTCTGGCACCCAATATTTATTTCTCTCGGGATATCTGGGTGTCGCTTACTGTCTTTGCCCGTTTTTGACTTACCCCCTCCCACACTCGCCATTTTAGAGATGTGAGGGGATCTTTTTTCAAGTTAGAGCTTGCTTATTTTAGAAACAACAGGCGAATGTCTGAATCACGCTATTAATCAGTTTGACCGACAATATTATTATCGTTTGTGCACTTCATTTTCTCTTTTTCTTTCTCTCTCATCTTTGTATCTTATACTGCCACTTTTACAATTTGGATTTCTGACGATATTCGCTTATTTTTATTTGTTATATACTTTACATACCACTTATCTTTTATCCTACATCAGCTACTCTTGCTAACTATTTGACAATCACTAGCCTGCACAGCAGTAAACAGTACACGGTTCCATCATCATTAAACACAGCGCTAACCAGTTTGATGTTCGAGCTCAAAGCAGCACCCAGAAATGCTGTGGGCATATTCAACAGCCAGGAGGAACGGATAGCAACGCTTGAAAAAATATTTAAAATGCATGTGCACCCTGTCGGCAAAATTGACACGCTCGTAATTGGTCTGAGCAGCGCGATTTTTGGGGTTACCTTTATCTTTATGGTTATTGCCTGGTCTAAGTACAAATACCGTCCCATCCGCGCTAAGAATTTACCATTGACAACGTGTATGTTTTTCTCCGGCATAATGTGGTTCGTCGGGGACATTCCAATGAACGGCCATGTTCTTCTCGAAGGGCCTTGGCGCCTGTGCAAGTTTTGGAACGTTTGGGTACGAGTGCTTTTCTGCTTCATCTACACGATGGTGCTGTTTAGTCGGTGCTATGCTCTTGATCGCGTGTTCAACCAGAACAAACCAACCAGTGGCTGGGCATACTATGCACCTAGCGTCCTGCTGTTTGCGTTTATCATTATTTACTCGATAGTAACTCAGGCAATGCCTGACAAGCTGACGATTGGATATCGGGAGGATTACGAGTTATGCACAACGACCGATGGATACGTGATTGTCACGCTCACCATGCTGTGGGCCAACTGGCTTATCATCATTGCCATGATGTACCGTCTGCGCAACATTCAGTCGACATTCAACGAGTTTTACGAGTTTTTGTGCATCAGTTTCTTTGGAATCGCGGCCATGGTCAAGACCAATGTTGTACACTACACACACAAAAAGTATCCTTATGTCATTGGATATCGCGTGGCTGAGACTATAGGCGATGTCATCATTATCAACGGCATTATTCTGCTCATCATTGGTTACCCGGTAGTCATGAGCATCATCCGGCCCAGGGAGTATGAGCGCGAGTGGCTGCTGAGACTCAGAACCGATGGTCTGCAGGACATGTACGAAGCTAACCTCAATCTGCGTGCTGAAGGCCCCCTCCATTATTCGCGAATGTCCGCCTCGATCCCTAACCAAATGGAAAAAGCCATGTCAGAAGATAATATCAACGATGATTCATTATTTGGCATCCATGGTTTTGGTCATCCCATTGATAATGGCGATTCAGCAGGAGTAAACTCAGGGTATTTACCAACTGAAGGCATGTCAGCTACTACTTCACGCACTCCTCGAAACCGCAACATGCGTGAATTTGACAATTCTTCAGTCAACTCGGCGGATACAATTGACGAAGCAGCAAAGGCCAGGCGCATTCTATAGGCGAAATGTTTTATAATTATATCAATCATAATAAAATAGCGAAAACCTTTGAAATTGACAATGTCATTTACAACTTTAATTATAAAATTTTTATTTATAATAAAGGTTTCCAATTTATTAGTCATTAAGTATAATATGAGTTTAACGCCGATTTTATCCAATAACTATACATACAAAATTGTATTTTAACCGACAAAAGCTCTTTTAAATTTCATGCAGGAACGCAATCCACAATTACCTTTTTTATTACACTCGCTCGCCCACAAAATTTAATGCATTATATATCAGTGGGTGCTTGTGCAGTTTCAGTACCGAGGGAAAAATCAGAATGTGCGACCTTCTGAGTACCATTTTACCCAATTTAACGCACAACAAACAAAAAATATGCAGCCATATCCTGTATTCCATGCTCTTGTTATTTACTTGGCTTTAAAATGGCTAGTGATGTGCAATTAAAAACAAATTGTTATCCGCACAGGCCATAGGACTACAGGTATATGTGTATATTGAAAGGAAATGTCAGCGGGAATGTTGGTGTGGTGCACAATTGAGAAAAAACAGAGTGTTGATAACACTGCTTCATTTCACAGTCAAATTTGTTCTTTTGTTGCTCGCCGGTTGCGCGCTGAAAAAATGTTGATTTCACAATGGGATAAGAATTACCAAACACCAACACTGCTGATTTTAGCAGCTTTGGTGCCGCCATTTATTTTTGGGTGTACAAAATGGCTTGAATTATAAACAATGCACACAACATCCCCAACCAAATGCCGTATCATTCTTATCGGCGAGTATGCGGGGTACTACAAATACAAAAATAGGCGAGCGAACGACCAGCCATGTTTATAAAGAAACTGACATTTGAAAACAAGCGTTTACCATGCTGTATTGAGCATTCGATACAGACAAAAAACATCCGATCGTTAGATGGATGGGTATATAACGTTGCATACAAAACAAAGCAATTATTGGTTTTACAACAGGCAAAGATAATACTAAAAATACAATCAACTAGAAAACATTGTGCCTAATACTAATAAGCACTCAATCCAAAAATAGCAAAAAGTAACCGACACCTGCAGGATTCGAACCTGCGCATCCAGAAGATAATGCCTTAGCAGGGCACCGCCTTAACCACTCGGCCAAAGTGTCTAGTAATTTTAAGCGCTTTTAGATAAACTATTAAACACTTCCTAATAATTGTTAAAAATAAACATTATTTAAAATATATAAAATTGATTGACCTAAAGAGAAGTTGTGACTCTGGATTTTGCAATTGTTTTTGCCGCATGTCCATTTTGATACTTGTATATATTGAACAAATAAGATTATTCCTGCACTGGTGCAAACGTGCGCAGCGAGTTGTCTAAAGAAGCAGCAATAATCTCAGCTGAGTTTTCGCCAACCCAGGCAATGGTCTTGACACAGTCACCTCCAGACAAGACGGCCATGGTATGCCATCCCTTGACCTTGAACACGTGTATTTTGTCAGCAGCGAGAGCAAGGTATTTTCCAGAGTTGTCAAAGCGGGCATCAGCAAACACAATGGATTCGGGGCATTCACCCTCGCCCTCTTGCGCGAGGTCTGAGAGAGTCCACGAATGAGCCTTCTTCTGCTTGCGCAGATCCCAGACAGCAACTCCGTGGGAGTTCGTTGTGGCAAAGTAGTAGCCATTTTCGCTAAAGTGCAGACCAGTAACCGATTTGAAATCCTCGGCGCTTGCAACGTCCAGGACCGCTAGCACCTGCTTCTGTTTAATGTCAACAATTTTAGCGTAGCCGTCAGCAGTACCAACTCCCATGAACATCCCATCAGGGTGGAATGCGACCTGCGAAATTGGAGAGTCGATTGTTCCGTTGATGATAGTCTGGCCACCCATCGAGTGGATAGCCCACGAGCCATCAGCTGCCGCGCTGACAAAGTACTGGCCGCACGGATGGATCGAGAGCCCTACAATCTCGGCGGAATGCGCCTTAATAATGTGGGTCTTTGTCCATCCCATCGAGCGGACAGTAACACCCTCGTCGGTGTTGTTAGGCTTTGGTGCCCAAATTCGAATGGTCTTGTCAGACGACGCAGTGATAATGGGCTTGTCGAGGCCGCCACCGTTAACCCAAAGTGCAGCTGTAACCTTCTTTGTGTGTCCCTTGAGGGTAGCCAGCGTCTGGTCAGCCTCACGCGAGTAAACCTCTGCGTGGTTGTCCATGCCGCCTGTCAGTGCAAGCACACCGGCGTTGTCCAGGCAAAGTGTCAGGATGCCAGGCTTTGTTGACGTATGCAGAGACTCCACAAGTGCAGTCTGGGTCGCAGTCTTCCAAGCCTCAGGAGAAGCTAGACCCGCAGGCGTCTCGCGCTTCATGCGCGACTTGGACAGAATCTTGGCCGTCTCGGCAGCTTTTGCATAGTATGCATCCTCTGTGTCCAGATCCAGATCCTCATTCGCAGTGGCAGCCACAGATCTGGTCTCAACATTGACCTCATCAACATCAAAATCAACATCCATAGCCTTGGACGTGTCAGCTGCTGCGAAAACACCGGTAGAGTTCGCCTCAACTGTGCCGGCCTGGGCTTGAAGCGTCGCTAGCGCCTGCCGGGCCTCGTCGCGCTCCTTCACCAGCCGCGCGACCACCCTACACGCAGCATCGTTTTGATACAGCGCCTGAGACAGCTCCTGGCGCACCTGCTGGTACTGCTGCTTGAGGGTGAATGTTTCCAAAACGAGCGCATCCCATTCGTTCTGGAATGTCGACAGAAGCGCCGGAATCGAAGTTAGCGTCGGAGGCCGTGGTCTGACTGCTGGTGGATCTGCGTGCACATCAACTATGTCCTCGTCTGAAAGGCCATGGTCGGACTGCGGTTCCCTGCCATTATCATTCAAATACTTTTGGAGCAGCCGCTTTTCGTATACGCGTCCTGTTTTGGAAGAAATAACAGGCTCCTGGGGCGTCTCACCGGATACTACAATTGATAAGAGTTGGTAAAATAGCGAGCGATTAGAGAGCTTGTGAATTATTTTTCTTAAATTTTGCTGCCCTCATTGACATGAATCGCGATTGAATCGCTATGGACACGACGTCGCTTTCATTTTTTACAAGCTACCGTTGGCGGGTCGTGTTTATCATGTAGTCACTATACTTACTCGAACAGCAAAAGCTCATCGTGATAGCAGCAGAATAAAATTGGGCACAAATAAAAGCAAATTGCAAATGTGGAAAGAATGAAGAAAGAATTAAAAAAGCGCGTAGGCCTTGCACGCGCAAAAGTGTGCGTATTTTCTGTGTCGTGATCATGAATCCGCGTTGTTCGAAAATCAGCATACAACAGCAGGAAGATTGCAATTTTTTGTTGGGCAAAAACGGAAAAAAAATTAAATTGCTTGTCGCGATATCCACATCGCAGTGCACCAGCCCAATTACACATGGGGTTCAATCTCTCTCCTATTTGATTTCTACTTTGTTGAATCATACACTTTAAAATTTAAAATGGTGCGTATCCATCGTCGAAATGAGTGCGGATGCACCCCACTATAACAGCTGTTTTGGATGGATTCGCACGTTGAATCCAACGACAAAATCCGAGATTCGCTTAAATTTGACATTAAACTAACAATTTTTAAATTTTTAAAATTCTTAATTCATAAATCTAGGCTGCTCGTCCCGTTGTTTCCGTCTTTGGCCTTAACGGCTCCAAGCTCGAGGCTACCGTGCCCCTGCCCGCTGTCTTCACCGCCCCCATCCGCCCGGATCTGGTCCAGTTTGTTCACAAGAACATGGCCAAGAACCGTCGCCAGGCCTATGCCCCCAAGCAGCAGGCTGGTGAGGAGACCTCCGCCGAGTCGTGGGGTACCGGTCGCGCTGTTGCCCGTATCCCCCGTGTCAGCGGTTCGGGTACCCACCGTGCTGGTCAGGCCGCCTTCGGTAACATGACCCGTGGTGGTCGCATGTTTGCCCCTAACAAGGTCTGGCGCAAGTGGCACATTCGCACCAACTCGAACCAGAAGCGTTACGCTACTGCTTCGGCTGTTGCCGCCACTGGTGTTTCGTCCCTGGTTTCGGGCCGTGGTCACCGCATCAGCAACATTGAGGAGGTTCCCCTTGTTATTGCCGCTGAGGCCGAGTCCCTCACTAAGACCAAGGAGGCCGTTGAGCTCCTCAAGGCCCTCAAGGCCTACGCTGATGTTGCCAAGGTCAGCAACACCCGCTCGATCCGTGCGGGTCGCGGTAAGATGAGAAACCGTCGCCACCGTCAGCGTCGTGGTCCCTTGGTTGTCTTTGCCCAGGACAAGGGTATCAGCCGCGCCTTCCGCAACCTGCCTGGTGTTGAGCTGGTTGACGTCACTCGCCTGAACCTGCTCCAGCTTGCTCCCGGTGGTCACCTCGGCCGCTTTGTCATCTGGACTCAGCCCGCCTTTGAGGCCCTTAACAAGGTCTTCGGCACCCAGACCGAGGTCTCCCAGCAGAAGAAGGGCTACACCCTCCCCGCTCCCCTCATCAACAACCCCGATGTGTCCCGCATCATTGCCTCGAGCGAGGTTCAGGCTGTTGTCCGCCCCGCCGGCCCCCGTGTCACCAAGCGCCCCTTCACCCAGAAGAAGAACCCCCTGCGCAACACCCAGGTTCTCGTCCGCCTCAACCCCTACGCTCAGGTTCTCCGTCGCGCCGAGCTTTTGGGCAAGAACAAGAAGGCTGCCAAGACCGCCAAGGTCAACCACAAGAAATCCGCCTCGAAGAAGTTCCTGGACATCCTCAAGGCCGATTAATTGTGCTATGTCAGAGCACGCGAGGGATGACAACCGCGATGTAGTTTTGTTTGCAAAATATTTAATATATCAATTGCCGTCCCAACCAACACTGACATTGAAATTATATCAACAATGTTTAACATACACCTCAATTGTCTGCCTGCCTGCTTTTAATATTTTTTATTTAATATGGACAAATGCATGTGGTTTGGATTTGAGCGTTCAGACATTATCGTACATCTGCTCGTTGTGGTGCACTACAGGAGTCCTTGATGTATACCAGTTGCCTACAGGCAGGTTGAACCAAAAGTTCTCCTCATTTAGCAAGATGGCTGCGGCATTGTACATGGCGGCAAGGCCGCAGAAAAATCCAAACCAGCCGCCAGCCTTGATGATGGGCTCGTGGCCCAGCCAGATGCCGGCGCAGGTGAAGGATAGCTGTAGATTCAAGGTCCCAAATAGAATGATATTGGCAATGTGCGATTTCACATTGCCCGCAAGCAGAACCAGAACCCAGATTGACCATGTTAGGGAAATGATACCCTTCTGCTTGCGGACAACGTCGGGGGACTCGTTGGCCTGGTAGTCAAGTATGCCCAAACCGGGGACATCAGCCAGGCCTTTGGCCAGCCACGCGGCGCCGAATGAAGTGAACGCGGCGCCTTCGAATGTATCTCCGTTGGCAATCTGCCACAGGCCGGCAAACAGCTGGGTGATGCCAGCGACGGCGATTGATTGGGCTGCCATGCTGCGGTATCCATAGCCGTAGCCGACAGATATACCGGCTTGCATCATTGCCTCCTGGATTGTGCACAGGCTAAAAGTGACTAGGCCGAGGGCAGCGGCATTGCCGAACCGCCGAAACTGTGGTGGTGGTGCTACTATATGTATTTCACGAGGGACAGAGTCCGGCGAGTATGTATATGAAGCGTATCCAGGCATGCCAGCATGTCCTGAAATACCCGCTGCTGCCTCCGGCGATATGCCCTTGTTGGTGTCATTTTGTAGCGGTCGCTGCTGCATGTTCGCTGATGCCGTCGATATGTGACTTGATGTCGGGCTGCTGGTCTGGTGTATCATGGTGTGTCGAACAAATGGATGTGTCGAGGGTAAGCCAACAATAATAATATAATACAAATAAATATCAGTAAATTAGAGCGAAGAAAGCACAATATCTATATTTTATTTTGGCCGAGGGCGTCAAAAATAATGCAACAAAAAAAGAGGAGAGTACCCAGGCCTTATTTTATACACATCCTATCACACTCCACAGCTCGCATCGTTAATTCTGACAGTGGGCACTCCTCAATAACTAAATTGATAGAGCTACTTTGTGCTACATATTTTTTGCATCGCCCCAACATCAAATCGTCATTTGCAGTCATCTGACTTCTCAACTTGCAAATAAATCAAGAAACACATATTGGTGTCATGCTTGCTGCTCGAACAAAGGGTTGGGTATGTTCACACACAGGTATTATCATGTGTAAATTTAATATGGTGGTCACAATAACCATGCCACCTTCTGTTTTGATAATTCCTGGCATTCAATAAAATGGTCCCGATTTTATAGGATAATAGCGCAGCATGCTTTTCATATGTGGTGGCTAGCAACCCGGGCCAATAAATATACCAGTTCCATGTCAACACACTCGGTTTTGCACATGTGTCGCTCACAATAATTCATAAATCGGTCAGAGTTTAATGTATTGATGAGTGTATATGGAAAAGTAGAGGACATACAGATAACAAAACCTAGGCCTTGTACGCTGTTGTCTTATACTCCAGCAGATCACCCTCCTCGAGCATCTGTCTCTCGGCCTCCTGCCTGGCCCAGGTGCGGATCCTATATGACCAACCGGAAAACAAACACGAAAGTATCAGTACAAAATACCGCATTGTTTATGCACAAGGTATATCAGCACAGTAGCCTATTCTCACATATATTGACATTATTTCTACGTTACCTGGTGTCTGGCTTGTAGTATACGCCGGCCGCAATCATGCCAAAGGCAATGGCAAAGCCGCCAATCCAGATAACCTCCCAACCCTCGCTTTCGTACTTCTCTCCGGGCTACAAGTGTAAATGTTGTCTTTCAGCAATGGAATTAGCAGTCTTAATATTGAATTGTGCCCTTATGATTAGTCTAGAATGTCAAAAATGTCTGCCACCCATTGTTACCTTGCGACCAAAGAGGTAGCCTCCGGGCTCATTGAACTGGGGTGCGCCGTGCCCACCGCGGACGAGTCTGCTGGGCGCAACGGCTGTGCGGGTTGACAATTGAACTAGCTTGCGAGCAAACATTTTAGAGTGGTGAAATGGAATTGCAAAATTAAAAGTGTGTAAAAAACAAATGAATAATCTGAATTTCAATGCTCATTCAAGAAAAAAATTAGCAGTCAAATTCAACTTTGAACATGCCACGGCGCGAGATTATCTCCCGCTTGCTTTTTGCGACTCGCAAAGCCCCACACTGATTAGAGCACAAACCACACTGACTAGCGTATGTCTGATAAAATAGTGCGTGGTCCAATAAAAAATACGTTAAAGTATAAAGTACGCGATTTCGTGATTAAATTAGCATTTTCAATATCATTTTGGGCACATTGCGGCTCGCCGTCCGTCGATCTGTCTCTAGCCCATTCTGACTGGCGCAGCAGGACTTTACAGCCACCACAGGCTGGCTTTTCGCGCCTCCCACAGGCTTGAGAGAGGAAGGCATAGTTGGTCGAAAAGGCGACTTTGACAAAATGGCTGGCAAGATTGCTCGCAAGGAGAGTTCAGCCTTTTTCACCACTGTCAGCGCTGATAATATTCAGGTGCGTATTTATTTTGTATTTTATAAGACACGCAGAACCCAGCCACAGACAATATCAACGAGGGATGGAGACATGGATTCAACAGTACGCGGAGACACGTTCTACGTGATGGATACGCACAAAGAGAATCCATTGCCAGATCCCAACAGCGCCATAATGGATGTTTTAAATGGATTTGGTGGTAGCTATTTGTGCAGCGGATACAGCGACGCAGAATGGATGCGAAAGCCATGGTTGACACACCCATTTTATTTTGCGGCGATTTGCAGATTCTGATTGAAATTCGACAGAGCTGCAAATTGCCATTTGCAAATGGAATTTGTGAGGCCTACATTTTCTTGCACTCTAACTTCTACCGAAATATGGAACACGCAGCTTTCAGACTGTCCCCATCCCCTTATTTTTCAGCGTCAGCCTTTTAATTTGGCCTTTAAGCGACTAATTGCTGCTGGCTGTTGGCAGTGACACGCCTGCCAGAGCATTAGACAAAGGCAATTGGTTGCTTAACCCTCTACAGTGCTGGCTATCTGGGTTTTGCGTGACTGCGCTTTTGCAGAGTTGTGTGCTCTGTTTATGTGATGGCGACAGATCTGGCGATGTCCAGTATACGCGCGTCTGTCGCAGAAAACGGCAGCAACAAAGCTGCATAGACGCGCGCTTATTACTGGTGCGCCAGATATTAGCATGAGCTGTTTGTCATTGGCGTCTAGAGTGGTTGGGCTATGCAAGCTTGGAGAGCGAGAGCACACAACTGTTTAAACATTTTTTATGAATGGCTCCAATTCGGACTGGCGCGCACAGCGCGGCGTATATTGAACGGTATTGAACTAAATAATTGTTTACCAGCTTGTCTGCACATACACGTTTCGACTTTTGTAGGAACCTTTACGATGAAGCACATTCAGAAGGAAGACATTGTCACCATCCCCGAGGGTGTTACCGTTGCCATCAAGGCCCGTAACATTACCGTTACCGGTCCCCGTGGTACCCTGACGCGCGATATGCGTCACATCCAGATGGACATCCAGCGCCCCACCAAGAACACCATCCGCATTATTGTCTGGCAGGGTGGCCGCAAGCACATTGCCTGCATCCGCACCGTGTGCTCGCACATCAACAACCTGATCAAGGGTGTCACCAAGGGTTACGAGTACAAGATGCGTTTCGTGTACGCGCATTTCCCCATCAGTGTCAACATCAACAAGGAGGATAACTCGGTTGAGATCCGTAACTTCCTGGGTGAGAAGTACGTCCGCAAGGTCTTCCTGCTCCCCGGTGTTGATATTGTTCAGACCATCGGTACCAAGGACGAGCTGGTCCTGACCGGTAACGATCTTGCCAACGTTTCGCAGTCCGCTGCCTCGATCCAGCAGGCTACCCGTGTCCGCAACAAGGATATCCGTAAGTTCCTCGATGGTATCTACGTTTCGGAGAAGAGCACCATCATCAAGGACGTCATCTAAAGAGAATAGTAGCTTTATGAGTTTTTGGGACGCTTCCAACGATGCTTCAAATTCCAATAAAAAATGTGTCTGTCTCTTTTATTACACTTTACACACAATTGAAAAAGTAAATCAACTTGCTTATTTGTTTAAGTGGCCGGATTACATGTCAAGCTATTATTTAACCCCCAAAAAGTGGTCCACAAGTGAAGACGCTGGCACCACCTTTGCCAGCTCCATTGCATCTGCGGGTCTCGGGATGTCCAGCGCAGCGTTCATCAGGCCAACCACAGCAAACAAGCGACTGGATCTCGAAGCGTCGGGCGAGATTTGGCCCGCAGCCCAATGTGCAGCAATCATCTGTCTGCACGCGTCCAAGCGGCCCAGCCTCAGAACGGTGTCTCGCGTGGCCAGCCATGCCAGATATGTCGCCTCGGCCCAATTTCGCGCAGCACTGTCGCCCGAATATGAGTTGCGGCTGGTCAGACAGCTGTGCGAATACCGAGCACAAATGCGCAGCCGCTGTATGGCCTGGATGGCAGAGAATGGAGGTGTTTGCGAGTGCTCTCCAGATTCCGGCCTTGTACTCACTGCTGCCTCCAGTTGCTCGCACGCCCCAGTGACCAAGCACTGGACATTTGCCAACCACACGTGGTACTTGGAGAGCGATGTGAGGCCCATTCCGCCTAGCGTAGTGCCCAGGCTTGGGAAATGCTCGCTGGGCTGCATGTATATAATGCGCCTCCTAGAAAGCAAGTGGCCAACGTCAGGATTTATCTCCAGGTCGAGAGTTATTGGCAGGTATCCTGGCGCCCACACATGGACAGATGCGACCCGATCCAGCGATGGGAATAGTACGGGAGAGACGAGGCTCAATGTGCGAGATTCGCCGCTTGTATCTCGGCTGACCAGCGAAATTGTCGCCTCCAGACACATGCGCCCGTTTGTAACGTCTCGGGCCACCAGGCATCGCGGCTTGACGCAGAGCGCCCACAGATGCCGCCACGCTTGCAGATGCTCGCGGTTGTCAGAGTAGTGCTGAGGAAATCTCGGAAAAAATGCAATGAGCAGCAACGCAATGGATTCCACAGAGTTGGACAGCGTGAAGCGAGCGCCGCCACCAATAAATAGAATTCCAAGTGCCAAGTTCGACGCCATATGCGTGCCATAGGTGCGCGACGCGCTCACACCATGAAAGGCGCGCAAGCGCTGCATCGTCGCCACGTCTCCGCTCCCGGCCATGACCAGTGCAGCGGAGATGCACATGATGTCGAGGCAGGCCTGTGCTGATGCACGAGTCAGGCTAGGCTCGTATCCCAACGCTGGCCTGCTGGCTGCCGCTTCCACTTCGTCAAAATAGGTCAGTATCGTCGTGTGCGCGCTGTAGTCCTCGGTGCCAGCGTACTTGAGCCCGATTGCAAAGCACGCTGCAGTCACAACATGCAGTCGTGCGCGGCACAGATCAGCTGGCAGCTGGGCAGGCATCCATTGCGGAACATTGGTCTCGACCCAGGCTGGCGTCGGGGAGATCGAGTCGAGCATAATTAAAGAGCGCATGAGTGTCTTCCAGAGCAATAAAAACGGGTCGATTGACCGGATCTCATATGTTGTCGTTGGCAGCGCCAATCGCTGTGCAGCTGGATGGTAGTTTGTGCCGAGGAAGATGAGACCAAGTGCTGCGATCGCGCCGAGATCAGATACATTGCCCATGTTTCCGCCGCTGCCCAGGCTTCTGCTGCTTCTCGGCGCAATGTTCAGACGGCCAAGCATATCCATTGGCGACTCGTGGTTAGCGGCTTTGCTGCCATCGCTGGCATGCATGGTCTCTGTGAGCGCGTCCAGCAGGTGCAGATCAGACAGCGACCGGGATGACGTGCCCTGTCCAAGAGCCACCAGCCCCAATGCGAATCCAGCAGCCAGCGAGTAGCACTCGGCAGCGCTTTCGGCCGGATCGGCGCCGTCAAGCCGGGTCGTCATCGTGGACGGCGTGGCATTCTTGATGGCAAACAGCTCACCAAGCATGACCTCAGACATGCGGCGGTGCTGCGAGTTCATGTACAGCAGGCCCAGGCCAAGCATCGCCGCCGCCTGCGTGCCGTGCGACAGCAGCATGAGCTCTGAGGAGCCTGGTGGCAACAGCGTGGGGATATGCAGTGACAGTATCTTGCTCACCGACGCGTTCATTGTGCCCCGTTGCGCGCAAGCGCAGCCCATCAGCAGGGCGATAGAAGTCAGGCCATGGCGAATGCTAAGGTACTTGAATGCCTGCCAGGGCGGGACACCGCACAGAGGGCCGTTTGCCTTGTGCTGTCGCGCGCGAGAGCCGCTCGCGCTAGACGCGGCATCATCAGGCAAAAGCCCAATCCCGAACAAAAACCCCGCGTGCAATGCAAGCGCGTCCTTGTACTTCCGCTGCGATTCCCCTACAGCGGCAGGGTCCGCATCGGTCGGCTGCTCCGTTGGCCAATTCAGCAGCACCCACGACGGGTGTGCGCCTTTGAGTTGGCCGCGCTCTATCGACAGGGCTGCCAGAACGCCGCTGTGGAACAGCGGCCAGCTCGTGTCGGTGTCTGCGGGTGCAGTCCACGCGGTCTCCAACTTGTTTCCGTAAAAACGAGCAGCCACGCGCGGAGGGTCGATTTGCAGCGCATCTTGCGAGTTGAGTCCGAGCGAGCTGTAGCTGAATGCGGCGCGGCCAAGCGGCAATGCATGCACGCGA